CACACACACACAGAGGAGGAGAGCGTTCCACTGATTAAGGTCCCCGGACCGGACCATTAAGTCACTGATATCCAAACAGTGTAGCATCCCGCTTCCTTTGGCATTTGAGAAAGAAAGGATGCAAATGGATGTATTCGGGAGAATCTTGCTGAGACAACTTGCGTACCAACCAATCTGTTCATAGCAAAAATTATGTTCACTAGGAACTGAATGGCTGTCACGTTATTCCAAACCATTCCCCAGGGGCCCCAAAAAGATAGATCAGACAGAACATCTGAATACCCCTCATCTCATTACAGAACATGGCCCTCGAACCCTGAACGAAAAGATCAATCGGGCATGTACTAGGTCGCTGGACCTACCGACTTCTCTTGCACTCATAAGCCTAAAAGTGTGCTATTCATTAACGCTTCCCTCAAACCTAAGAGATTTAAGGGTTGGTAAATTATGTTGAGAGGAAGATAGTTTGTATACAAACGCTTCCACTATTCATTAACGCTTCCCTTGCACACAATGCACCCCGATCATGACTGTATCGGACCGGCAAAATAGTTTGTATACATTTGTGATAAAGGCAAATTATATTGCGAGGAAGTATGCATCTGTGATCAATTTAAATATTGTGTTCAGAGGAAAGTCATCTTAGGGTTGGTAAGTGAAACAGTGGCGCTCAAGTTAAAATTCAGAAGCCTTTGCTGAGCAGTAAGTTATCACAGGATGCAGAACGGAAAGCACAAACTATGGTGCACTGTAGACACACACGCAAAGACAGAAAACAGAGCTGCAAAAGAAACCAAGACAAGGAAGAAACCAAAATAGGGAACAAAGGAGATAAGAGAGAAGAAAGTCGCATCTCAAGGTTCCAGCAGAGAGATGGATCACTACCGTCTTCACCCGAATAGAACGCCCGGTCATTATAGCTGTATTTGCTGCAAATTCCAGTCCAGATATGGTCATCATTACCGGGCATTCAATTAGACAGCCGCCCCTCGAAAATCTCGGCGCTAAAAGGAAAGTCGAGAGAAGAAAGTCACATCTCAGGGCTCCAGCAGAGAGCAGGACAATCTTCACCCGAATAGAACGCCCAGTCATAACAGCCGTATTTGCTGCAAATTCCAGTCCAGATATGGTCATTATTACCGGGCATTCCATTAGACAGACGCCCCTCGCAAATCTCGGCGCTGTGTGAAGACAGTAGGGTTGTCAGTACGACAAGGGTGCCAATCCAAACAACATCAACGACAATCACCTTAAGCAAAAGCCTTGAAGGCACGAGTGTGTGCAACGGCGAATGCCACATTGGGTTCTCCATGGCTAAGATAGACCATCTTCATTTCAGAATACTGAGATAACCGCACCGAAGGACAAAATCAGAAAAGTTCTAGGTCGGTCCCCGGGCCGCCCGGCGACCACCCGGTGGTCAGCCGGGGCGGGGGGGCAGGCCGCCTGGCCGGTTGTTCCACCCGGTTGGCCACCCGCGACCCAGCACATCCCAGAAGGGGGGGGGGGGGTCAGCCGTTTTCGACGTGGGGGACCTTCTTCCCCCCAAAGGAAGCCGTCCAGGCCAACGGACGAAAAAAAAAGGGCCGATAGGCACGATTTCAAGATTTCGAAATCAGGGCCCATGTGCACCATCGATCTCCAGGATCGACGGCCCAGATGGGCCGCAATTTCGAATCCCTGAGGGCGGGAACCACCGGCCCTCGTCCCCTCCCCCGTGACCTCTMCCGCCCGACGCCTCACTTCGCCCAACGTGTCACTTCAACGGGAGCTCCACCAACACCTGGCAACGCCCGCCAACGCTCGCCAACGCCCGCCATCGGGCTGTCCCGCCAAGGTAAGTGGGTTAGTAGTAGTAGTAGCAGAGAGTGAGAGAGAGAGAGATCTTCTTCTTCTTCCTTCTTCTTCTTCTTCTTCTTCTTCTTCTTCTTCTTCTTCGTCGTCGTCGTCGCATCTTCTTCTTTTTCTTCTCCTTCTTCGCTTCTTCTTCTTCTTCTTCTTCTTCTTCTTCTTCTTCTTCTTCTTCTTCTTCTTCTTCTTCATCTCGGCCACTGTCTCCTGACCCCCTTCCCGCCATCCTCCACCCGTCCTGTTCTTCTTCTTCTTCTTCCTCCTTCGCTTCTTCTTCTTCTTCTTCTCCTCCTCCTTCGCTTCTTCTTCTTCTTCTTCTCCTTCACCTTCGCTGCTTCTTCTTCTTCTTCTTCTTCTTCTTCTTCTACTACTACTACTCCTTCGCTGCTTCTTCTTCCTCCTCTTCTTGGTCACCGTTTCGTGCCCCCCCTGCCCGCCATCCCCGACCGCCATTTCCAATTTTTTATTTTTTTTGCTTGTGTCTTGTGCAGGTCAGCGTGGGGCCGCGATTACGACCTTCCCCCGCGACCCCTGCCCGCCATCTTCTAGACGCCCATCTTCTTCTTCTTCTCGCCCAACGCCCATCTTCTTCTTCTTCTCGCCCAACCTATCTCACCCCATGCCCTCCATCCTTTCTCGCCCATCTTCGAACTTCGTCTTCTTCTTCTCACCCACCCTTTCTCACCCCCCTTCCATCTTCTTCTTCTTCTTCTTCTTCTTCTTCTTCTTCCTCTTCTTCTTCTTCTTTTTCTTCTTCCTCCTCCTCCTCCTACTCCTTCTCGTCCTCCTCTTCTACTTCTTCCACATACACACCTACAAGGTCTCTGACATACCAGCACTGACATCCCCCCCACGACCCCACGCTGACATCCCTCACCCAGCAGTCAATCGTGGAAAGTGAAGAGTAACTTACCCCAGGAGCCTCTTTCTCCGATGTCACAGAATAGCGAGGTGTTTCATGAGGGACGAACTTCGCTTCAGCTTCGATGCTCTCGAGTGCTTCGAGGCTCATCGCAACCGGTGAATCATCAGTTCGTGACTTCTTCGATCCAAAAAGCTTTTCAATCAAGTCCACAACAGTCTGCCCACGATGACACCATCACAACCAATGACAGTCAAACCAGAACATATTTAGATAGTATAGAATCTATAGATTCCTAGAATATATATCAGCGATTCCATGTGCCCAGATGCTACATGCATGTAAGTTTTAATGAATTGAGCATGCTGGGTTCGAACCCTGACGTAATCAGATGGATACAGGAATGTTAGGGGAAGGGGCTAAACAGGTTGATACAACCTACGGTCATTATAGCTGTATTTGAGGCATCTTTGAGTCTAGATACAGCTATAATGACTGTACGTTGTATTCGGGGGAAGAAGGTAATACCCGAGCACCGGACTAATGTTCATTGCTGAACCAGAAACAGTCAAACTGTACTGCATGCTGAACTAGCAGCAGCAACTACCATAAGTACACATATTATCACTTTTTCAAATTGTTTCTTGCTTCTCCCCTTTCGAGTTCGCCAGCTACTTCTGGACCTCTTCATTGCCCTTTTAGCCGTTCGTTCCTCCCCTCCATTATTGAAACTCCATCCTCTTCTCCCCATCTTCGTGCACCTTCACTTATTTCCCTTCCTTGACCCTCTCACTCCTAACTTCTGTTCCCTTTCATTCTTTCCCCCCTTGCCATCTTTCTCCATGTCACTCTTCAGCGATCCACTTCACTCTGCCCTCCACCATCCTTCTCTTTCCCTAAATCCTCTTCGATGCAGCCGACGCAACAAACGACAATAACACAGAAAGCATGCACCTTTCTGACCTCCATATCCTCTACAACAACAGGGCAGTGTGAGCTTTGCAACACACGACATGCATTGGCTGAAGGAAAAGACTTCCTGCATTGTTCATCAGATGCCTTTCGTGAAGAAGCATAGACATGTTCCCTGCTCCTTTCAAACCAAGCCAATATAGCAGATATTATTTTGTATCTAACCAATACACCCAAGTTCCCTGGAGCAGGTTTCTTGCTATGCACCAAGTTTCAGCACTCACTTCTTTCTGCCCTGAACGTTGATTTATTTGGATCACACAGGCACATTAGTTTTCACTAGATGACCTGTTGCCGCTTCACTCGCAAAAACAAACGCGACAGGTGATCTAGTAAAAAGGTCGCGGCTACCAACCGATGAAAACTCTCTCTCTCTCTCTCTCTCTCTCTCTCTCTCTCTCTCTCTCTCTCTCTC